CATCATCCATCCATTCATCCACCTATATAACCATCCATCCATCATCCATCATCCATCCATTCATCATCCATCCATCCATCATCCATCTATTCATCCATCTATATAACCATCCATCCACCAAGGAATGATTCCTGAGTTCCAGTTCTTATGTTGACACTAGGAAGACAAAAAGCGTGAGGTAGAGTCCTTGCCCTCAGGAACTTAAAATCCTCCTGGAGACAAGCCCCTGAGACTACTACAGGTGTAAAGTCAGGGAGGCTGGGGGGGGAGGGGGAGGAAGGCAGCCATGTACATGTGCTCGTGGGCTCGTGTGCTCACATTACTCCACAGAGGCTCCTGGGATGCTGCTGTGTAGGAATACGCTCAGCCTGCCTAGTGCTTGCAGTTTAGATCCTCTAATCCTAGAATCCCCTTCTGGCATGGCTCAAGGAATTCATCCAAAGCATAGTGACACAGAGGGGTGACAGGAGGGGCATCTGTAGAGGCTGTTCACTGCTCTTCACTGCAGATGTCACCCCCAGGGTTGTGCAGTGCGCAGCCTGTAAGGCCAGACTTGGGGGCGTTGGGGACCCTCCAGGTGACCCCTTCACAGACTGAGTGGGCTCTGGGTGCTCCTGCCTGTGGAGTGGAGGAGGTTGTGTTCGAGCTGTGCACATGCTTGCAGATATTACCTTATTCAGCCCTCATTACAAGCCTTCCGCGTATGATTATCCTCACTGTACAGTGAGGAATGGAGACGTTATGCAACTTTCCCGAAGTCATACGGCTAGGAAGTGGAGGCGCTGGAAGCGAAGCCAAGCCTGTGTGGTTGTAAAGCCCGTGCTTCCGCTCTGCCTCCTGCCATAGGCCCCAGCAGGACAACGACATGACCGTTGTCATCTAATTGTTGCAACAAGCCTCTGAGTTAGAAGTCGCTGATCCCACTTTACAGACAAGCAAACCGAGGCCAAAAGTTTCCATCATGGGTGCAAGCAGCTCAGAATGCAAACTCAGACCTTCTCCCTCTATGTTCAGGCTCCTCCAGGAAAGACCTGATTGTTTTACTGGCAAGAAATGGAGGTGCAGTTTGAGGATCTTAGAGCTCAGAGTATCCCGAAAACGTGGAGAGACAGCCTGGGTGCTTCCCCAAGCAGGTTGGCCTCGGGTGGCTGAGGTTCTGGGTCCCGTGCAGTTCTCACATGCAGACACCACTTGGGGCCCCGAGTCCTTCTTTGCCCGGGAACCCCGGCTGCTACTCCCTCTGCGGTGGAGGGTCTGGTGGAAAGTCAGTCAGTCACCTGTGCCTCCTTGCACTTGCTGGGCCAGGCTGCATTGCCTCTGACCCACCACTAGATGGTAGGGCAGACCAGGGCAGGCGGTCCCTTTGTTTCCGCAGCCGCCACAAGCCCTGTTTCTCTTGTTTTCTTTTGCCTAATCTGAGCCTCTTGCAGGCAAATAAAGGGGAATTTAAAATGATTCTGCAGGGCTTCAAGGTCCTGGGCTCATATCTGCTGGGGTGGGGTCCTAGGGGCCCTGGAAATAACTCAGAAGATGACGCTGGTCATTCAGGGTGGACAGACCCGGCACCTTCAGAACAAGTTACTGGACGCTCTGGCCAGTGCGGCCATGTGGGCAAAGCCGGTGAGGACTCTGTTTTCCCACCCCGGCCTCCTGTGGGAGAGAGACGCCTTCCTCCCCTTCCCTCTCCATTCCCGGGAGAAAAAAGGGCAGACACACCAGGAGACAGTCTCTGTGTGCAATGGAGCCCCTGGGAATGAGTGAGTGTTGGGGCTCTCCTGAGTGAGGACTCAGGAGGGAACAGCGGTGGCAAGTTCTCAGGCTTTGAGCAAAGCTGGAAACCTGGCTAAATCGAGGAGGAAAGCCTTTTTGTCACAGAGCAGAAGTGCTCCTAGCCTGGGCACAGCTGTGGCAGCTTTGCGGGTCTCAGGCTGGGACGTTATGGTCAGGCAGGGAGGGGGCGTGCAAGGCATAGGAGGGAAGGGACCAAAGCTCTGCCGGGTGCCCCCTCGGCCCCCGACCTTGAGCCTTGGTTGGGCAGAAAGCATCATCCTCATCATCAGAGACTGCAGTCTCATTTTGGAGACCCGGGACACCCCAGGGATTCTGATAGATAGAAAGAAAGTAACAGTAAGAATTTCATTTGGGGGTTCCTGAACCTAGGGAGTATTTAGGGTTTGCCCCCCACAAGGTAGCTGTGGTTGTGGGAGTTGGGTTAAAGGCACCAGCTCTCCCACATGGGGCATGTCACCTGATCTCCCTGAGCCTCAGTTGCCCCGCCTATGAAATGGGAATGGGACTAGCACTGGTTAGGGAGCTTTGGGCTACGAGTAATGGAGACATCGACCCCACTAGACTGTAATGATAAAGATGATTCTTGTCCCTTGCAAGTGAAAAGTCCAAGGCAGGGCGGGCTTCAGGCGAGGTTCGATCCTGCAGCCCCCAAGGGCCGTGGTTTTGTTCATCTTTTTGCTCTCCTTCCATAGTTTCAGCTTCAACCAAGGTTCCTCTTAGTCCCCAAATAACTGTGACCAGTAATCACGACTAAATTCATTCATGCCTAGCAGAAGAAAGACAGTGTCCCCGCAGCTATTATCCAAGGGGCTGTGATTATCTCTTGATTGAGACATCCTGGGTCGTGTCCCAGGCTTGAGGATGTCCTGCGCTGACTGCTGGGATCTGGGCCCCAGGCCCAGCCCGGAGCCGCTTCCATCCAGGGGGGTGGCGTTGTGCCAGTCAGCTCCAGCCACTTGGAGGCCACAGGAAACCAATACGCCAGGAGAGAGACGGGCTCCGTGTTTCTGATTCACTGCCCAGGCCTCGTGCCCGGGCAGAGAGGAGAGGACCCAATATGATTGCGACTGAGTTTGTATCCACATTCTCCTCTCTGCCTCACCCCAAGGCTGGCCTGGCTCCAGGCTCTGTGGGTTCCATCTCCCGGGATGCTTTCTGGGAACCAGAAAGAATAACGCAGGCTTCTCAAACGATTTTTCGAGAGTGATCTTAGTGGGCGAGCGATGCCT